TGGAGCTGAGGTGTTATCTCGCCTTGAGTGTATGTTCGGTAAATTTTAGTTGAAAAATTTGAAGCTAAGCTTAGATTTTTAACTTCTGGTATTATTATCGGCATATATGACATAATGTAGTGACTGATCTTGTAGTGCAAACTATTTATTGGCACAAAAAACTGAAAGTGCTCCCTTTTTAGGTTTTATGAACAAAAGAAAAGGAGAACATATTGTTTGGTTACTAAGCAGAAATGAATTGGTCTCACAAACACACAATGAGCTGAGCACCAAAAGGCCATATCTCAGCAATAGCCTATAATGACTTTTCACGGGAAAGATATTGACAACCATGTCTGATCTGAAGCAGCATCTTTTGCTGGTTTCCAGCCATTTCACAAGCAGCACTCGTGAAGTAAATGTGAAAATAGTCCATCAACATGAGCAATTCCTGGATGCAGGGTTGCTTTGGTGTCAGGAGGTGCTTGTTTTTGTGAACGAGTTCTGACAATTTTGGAATGGCAGATTTATGAATGTGTTTGTTCTCCTTGGCAGGTCTCAGATATTTTAGATGTTATTTTCAGTCATGCTCAATTTTCTATGGCGTGGATTGGTTTTTCTTGATGAATAATGTAATATGTTTAGTTTTGGTATATGGTGCTTTGTATATTTTGTTGCTCTGGTGCCTGATGACCAGTTGCTGTGGCATGCTTAAATTGGGTAACATTTAGCTTACTGGCTGACATGCATCGAGCATCTAAGGTTACTTTTGTTGGTTGCTGTCACCTTTGTCTTGCATATACGTGGAAGACTGTTTTAGCTGAATTTCAGGGTGTTAATTTTTTGTTTAGTTTAAGTCCAAGGTAGCCTTGGATGTCGGAGATCCATGCTGAGTTTTGAGCTGTTTAAAATGACAGTATCTTAGAGCAGGTAAAAGGTACCCAAATGGGTTCCTCAATGGAGCAATGAAACTGCTTGGTCTAAAACCATTAATGATATTAAAACAGTAAAAGGTACTTTCATTGATGCTTAAATATATAGGAGGTTAACAAGAAATAGGAGCAATCTTTTTACAGACTGCTGAAAACTAAAAAAGTAAGTATCAGACGTGGATTGATCACATAGGGCCGATACCCAGTCATTCAGATTAGGTATGGATAGGTACACCTCTGTGTGTGATCTATAGTAGTGATTTTCAAAATAATGCATTTAGCTGCTCAAGAATGTTAATCTATATAATGTAAGTATGAGGAAAATAAAGCAGTGTTAATTATGTTCTTCTTTTTTCCTAACAAAAATTACCCATTAAAGTACCGGACCGATAAGAGGTATCGATAAAAGTAGTAGTACCGTTAAAATCTTAACAGTACCCATCCCTAGAAGTGGCTTCCCATTGGTTCCGTAAAGCGCTTTGGGTGTTTTAAAAAAGCATTTATTCATTCATAGATGCTGTGTGCCTTTGTGTGTTTATATTTATAAATGAAACTTGTTGCTTTCACTATATCTTTCACAGCTTAAAAATGATGTTTTGGTGAATGTAGAGGTGTAGCTGCAGATTGCTGCCCGCAGATGGTGCTGTTCCTCCTGAAATTCTGAATGTAGTGCGGTGTTGAGTATCCTTCCACCAACTGTCACTATGATACGATGATATGAATTGGATTTTGTCTAAAACGGACATGTTAGTTCCTGGAGTTGAGATGTTATCTCGCCTTGAGTGTATGTTCGGTACTGTATACTTATTTTCATTCCTAGAAATGAAATACTATGTTTCTCTTCCTTACTTTCCCCATTTCTGTCAGAGAAAACTCCTCAGTGTTAGCTGAGGCTGTCTTAAATTTTAGTTGAAAAATTTGAAGCTAAACTTAGATTTTTAACTTCTGGTATTATTGTTATCGGCATATATGACAATGTAGTGATGGTGTCAGGAGGTGTTTGTTTTTGTGAATGAGTTCTGATCAATTTGCAATGGCAGTTTTATGAATGTGTTTGTTCTCCTTGGCAGGTCTCAGATTTTTCAGATATTTTCAATTATACTCAATTCTGTATAACGTGGAGCTTCAGGTTTTTCTTGTTAAATAATGTGACATGTTTCAGTTTTGCTGTTTGGTATGTTTTGTTGCTCTGGTGCCTGATGACCAGCTGCTGTGGCATGCCTGAGATGGGCAACATTTGGTTTACTGGCTGATATGCATTGAGCAAAGGTTACTTTTGTTGGTTGCTGTTACTGCTGGAAGGTATACCGGTTCATACCGAAAAATTCATATCATAACAATAAAAATGGTTTTCTTATACCGCAGTACCGGTTTAAATAGCCTACACAACGTTCAGAAAGTGGTGCAGCTGGAAATTGTTTAAGGGGTGACCTTTTTCACTGCTGCACCGCCAAAAATGTACTGCGAAAGATCAGAAAGTAAAGATATAGCTGACGCTGGGGTTGAAAATAATGAGACACAGGGTTTGTCAAAAATCGATTCTCAGATACTAATCGATATAAAAAATTAGTATCTGATTAGATACTTATTTCCAGCCTCTTTGCAAACAGTGCTACAAAGTTGTGGCGACAAAGTGAAGTAGGACGTCAAGCCTGGCGAAGCATCTTAAAGACCGACAACCCGGTCATTATGAGAAAAATTCGCATTCCAGCAACACTGAACTATTAAACACTTATCAAAAATGTTAACTTGACCGGCGCGCACCTTAACATTAGCCATTTATCTATAAGCAGTTAGCCAACAAACACATTAGCCGTATGTTATCATTAAGGTAGCAGATAGGCAGTGTGGCTAATAATACAATAATGTAGTTAATGTGGGAACATGTAAAACAAAAATGTGTCCTGTAAAATCCTGTAAAATGTGGTAAACGCCCAGTCATACTTTAAAAAAAAAAATACCGTTGTGTACCGTGAAACCGATATAACTTTGAAAAATACCGTGATAGAAATTTTTGGTCATACCGCGCAGCTCTAGTTGCTATCAGCTTTGTCTTGCGTATACGTGGAAGACTGTTTTGCCTGAATTTCAGGGTGTGTCTGAGATCCATGCTGCAAAACTGTTTAAAATGACAGTGCAGGAAAAAGGTACACCCAGATGGGTTACTGGATGGCTCAATGAAACTCTTTGGTCTAAAACCATTAATGATATTAAGACACTGCAGTTGTGACCTGCTAGGCCAGCTACTTTGACCAATTGTTTAAAGCTGATCCTCTGGCTAGGACGTTGGACATCTCTGGGTCCAAAGTTCTGGAGGCTGATCCTCCAATCAGCTGTGAACCACCCAGTCTCACTGAGATTGCATGGGTGGTGCATCAGCTGGGGGTAGGGAAGGCCGCAGGGGTCTGTGGTATCCGGTGGTGGTAAGGCTGTCCTCCTGGTATTGTAGGCAATCTTTGCTTCCATTTGGGAGTCAGGCGTCATCCCAACTGACAGGACTTGTGATCCTTATCTGGAAAGGGAAGCGTGATCACCTTGGATTGGATTGGGGATTGTGGCTGCTACTGGCGGGGGGATACGTAACACTGCTCTCAGTGCCAGGTAAGGTCCTCAGTGTTTCCCCTGCCATCATATTAGGGGGGCGCCCTGCCCCCCCCAATGGCACCTCCCGCCTCTCTTGAAGGTCAAGTTAATTTTATTTTATTTTATTTTCCATATAGCGCCAGATCACAACAGAAGTCATTTTAGGTTACTTCTCCTATAGAACAGCTCTATATATTGTCCTTTTATTAAACAAACTAAATAGCCTTATGCTATTTATCTTATTTACACAACAGCTTGTCATTTTTGTCTGTACATGGTCGCGTGTTTACAATTCTCCTCCGCTGTCTGGTGGAGTTCCGCCCCGATGCGCGCACTGACACATGCGCACACACACGGGTGAGCACACTCCCACCAGTGGACAGAGAGCGCACGTTGGAAAATATGTCGCGTCAACCACCTGAAAAGCAGACAACAATATCTGCATTTAAACGCTCCCAGGGTGGTGAATTGTCATAAAAAAGAAATGTTCTGATGTTTAGTTCAGTTGTTATATTGACTGCTGTCATTAAACCATGAATTCTGTCGGTGCCCATCTGCGGTCCTTGCTAGAGTCATCCTTAACAGGATCCGTGATCACTTGCTCGCCTATCACCAACCAGAGCAGTCTGGTTTAATGCCTAAGAAGTTTACCATGGAACACATCCTGGCACTAAGGGTTCTCAGCCATCAGTAGTGTGTCTGTCTGCAGGGAGAATGTCAACCTCGTCCAGAGATTCGCTTACCTTGGCAGTGACATTCGTGTCTCTGGTGACTCTCCCTATGAAGTCAGCAGACGGATTGGGAGAACATGGGGGGTCATGAGGTTGCTGGAAAAGGGGTGTGTGGTGCTCCCGATATCTTTGTAAGGGGATGAAGTCTTTAGAGTCCATGTGTTCCCTGTCTTGCTGTGTGGCTGTGAGACATGAATGCTATCCAGTGAGCTGAGACAGACTGGACTCCTTCTATACTGTGTCTCTTTGGCGAATCCTTGTGTACCACTGGTTTGACTTTGTGTCAAACAAGTCCCAAATGAGGTACATTACCTGCATTGTGAGGGAGCGTCAGTTACGGCACTACGGCCATGTGGCGCATTTCCCTGAGGGTGAGCCGGCTCTCATGATCCTCATTGCTGAGAACCCAAGTGGCTGGACCAGGCCAAGGGAACGTCCATGTAACACCCAGCTGCAGCAGATGGATGGCCATTTCTGGAGTGTGGGACTGGACCATGTGTCTGCCTGGGGGCTCGTCATCCAGAATCCTGAGGACTTTCACCATGGGGTTGGTGCAGCAATGCGCTGCATCAGTACATGCGCCCAAACCTGACCTGACCTGGTCACACAATATGAGCGTCTGACTGTTTTATTGATGGCCCCCAGGTATGACCAGCATGGGCAATGTCAAGGGTCCTACGGTGCTCATTGCTGGTGTTGCAGGATGTCTAATTAACTGACTGTGAAGCACTCGACCGTTGTCTGCTTTCCTGACTGTTGTTTCCTCTGTGCACAGATGTTGCGTGATTGTAAAAAGGCACGGCGAGAGGTAGAGCTACACTGGCGGGCGTCACTCTGCACAAACATCGTACACATCGTCGACGTATACGAGAACCTCTACAAGGGGGACAAGTGCCTGCTCATCATTATGGAATGGTATGTCCACATCAACCCCGACCCCCGTGCTCTCTCCCAGTGTCATGCAAGCAGACAGGTGTGCACATAGATGTGGAGATAAGGACATATTCCTTGACACAGTGATTTGTTATTAAGAAAAATAAACAGAACAAAATGTCTTCAGTATGGAAATACTTAAGAGTTAACAATTAAAACCAAAGCTTAGCGGACAGCAAACTGTGCTCTACTAAATTATCGAGAAGAGGTAGAAAAACAGGTTTATGCAACACCAGTGATCTAGTTATAGACATCTAAAAATGAAATGCAAGAAAGAGCACAATGAAATTCCCACCAGCAGCAGTCTTCAACAACCTAACGTGCAGCAAACACTAGCGGAGAGAGAAAATGCGAAATGATAACCCCCGTCCAGTGAAAGTAACAGAGGCTGTTAACGAGTACAGTGGAGACTGCTTATAGTGATCACTATATGTGGATGATCGTTATAACCATTTTTTTCTTTTCTTTTTAATTTATGTCTCAGACAGATCACCATGTAATTGACATTTGTATAATTATTACATGAATATTAGGTAATAAAACACACCGTAGCTATTTATTGAATTTTATCGAATCTTTAAGAATATATTACAACAGTTTCAAACGCTTTTCAAATTATAATATTGTACAAATAAAATTACTGAGCTGTGTATAATTGAAATGCACTATATTATAGTACAATACTGTACATAAAATATTGGTTATCGTATTATTGCTGCATCTCATTGGCTCATTTTTGTCAGTTTTGATGAGTCTATTTTTGTCACAGAGAAAAGCACTTTCTTTTTCCCATCATGTTTTCTGTGCACACAACATTAGCCTTAGGTAGTTGTAGCTAGAAGCAGACAGGTTGTTGCAAGGAAAAGAGGAAAAGAAAAAAAAATACAAATTGGGCATGTCATAAAATATGCCGTAAAATATATTGCATGCTCACTTGTGCAGACATGCAAGGTACAAATTGGGCATGCACAGGCAGATATTTCACAAGGCAAAGTCATCTGAAAACTTTGGTCACGGACGGTGTTTTTGGGCAGCATGGGTTGTTAATTTTTTTAAATTATGAGAAATTTAATTCTTTTGAAGATAAAATTGTAAATTGAAAACTCAGGAAAGAAGAACTACCTGTACAAACTGTGCAGACCATTGTGCGTGGATTTGTTGGTACTATGCAGACCATTTTGTGTGGGTTTGGATGTCCTAACTGCGCAGACGATTATGTGTGGGTTTGAATTTACTGACTGTGCAGACCATTATGTGTGGGTTTGGATACTGACTGTGTTTGCATTTGTGCATGGGGGGTATTTTGTTGTTATTGTTTAACCCAATATTTAAAAATTAAAATTGCACATTGTCTTTTTAAACATTGCAGAGCCCTAATTGGTATCATTATTGGTGTGTGTGCATTGGTACTCGTCTTTGGTCTGGAAAAAATAGTATTGTTACATCCCTAGATATTATGAATATGTTCTGCATACATAACTTTTGCCAGTGTGACAGGCTTCTCCTATTTCACCAGAAAATGCCTAAATGCTGAGAAATTACATATCATGTAAAATTCTCAGAATACAAGACAATTTGCTTATGTTATATAATGAAACTGCTTTTAGCTGAAGTAATCTGTCAAAGAACTCTCACATCACATCCTGATGGGTTCAGAAGAAAAAACCGTCACATGCACAGCCAGATGGGTCCTGAGTGATTCTGGCCAAATAAGGGAAATGATGCCCAAGTTACAGAGTAAGAGTTGTATTTCACTGCAGTATGAATGGACATATTTACTAGAAAGCCACACTGAGCTGTTGAGTGTGGGAAGGTTAAAGTTGGTCACCAACCTTGCGGTCAACTGGCTGCTACATAATTTATAATTTCTTGTTACCACTACACCACTGCGTCATTTCTGCATGAAATTTATAGTAATATCAAATGTTGTAGTAATCAAGACCAGTTTTTGAAGGTCTCGACTTGTCTTTGAATCAGCCGTATTTATACTCATTCTTGTCATGGACTTGGGATTTTATTTGGAGACCACAACTCTGAGAATATTCCTATTACTGAGCAGTCTACTGTTGGATTGGATAATTTCTCACTTCAAGTGCAACCAATGATGTGACTGCCGACCGCTTTACCGGCCCTGCCCCTTCACACACACACGTGTGCACATGAACACAGGTTGAAGTCCTGGTTGTCTGGGAAAGATGTCAACACAATCGGCTATTATCAAATATGGCTACATATACCACAAAGTGTTTACCCTACCATTCCATTAGGGGGGCGCACCAAGGTAATTTTATTTAATTTTATTTTCTATATAGCGCCAGATCACAACAGAAGTCATTTAAAGCTAACCTTTCTATAGAACAGGTCTATATCTTGTCCTTTTATTAAACTAAATAGCCTTATGTTATTTATCTTATTTACAGTTCATCACTGCAGTATGCGCACAGAACCGGACATGTTTTAAAACGAAATTTGCCGCCTGCCGTTCACAGGTTTTCCCTCACCAATCGACTTATTTGCGCCGTTCAGTCACTAAAGTCTATGGCGTTTCACGAGAGCGCAAGCCAGCGCATTTTAGCGGAAAAGGCTTTTTCTCCCCAATAAATATTTACTTTGTCCGTAATAAATGCAGACACACTCGCTCGCCTGCTCTCTCCCCCCGTCACATATGTGTATCAACATTAAATAACATTAGAGAATTATTTAATAATATTCTTAGTAGCAGCAGCGGTAGTCTGTGCTTTTACATTAAAAAACTGGAGTACTGAATACATTATCTAAAGCACCATGCTGGTTGCACTTTATAAAAAAAGATTTTGTGTTTTTAATTATATGGATTCAGCTGCTATAAAGATTTTATTTTTCTCTGCTCTTAATGTAGCATACATTTATTTTTTTATGTGAGTTGCTGGAAACAACCTTTGTACAAAGACAGTTTGGGTTATCAAGAAACGCTGGAAATCGATTTTTTTTTGTCACTCCCCCCTCTCCCCGATTAATAATTGATTATTGCAGCCCTAGTAGGTACCTACAGAAATATATTATAGATTTGAGGTTGCCATCGCTTTCTTGTAGAACCTGAGTGTGAGTTGTCAGAGACAAATGACCAGACCTTTTAAAGTTAACACATTTTCAGGAGTGATGCTTTTGTTGTTTTTTGGTGCAGGTCAGAAAATTGAGTCTCTACCTGTTAATGTTTTTATCAGTCAATTATTTTTGCCCGTTTCATTTACTGTTCAATATGAAACTACTTTTAATATCAACATAGAATTTATTCATATCAGTTCAGCTTTGTATTTATTTATTTTTATAATGTATACAATTTTTACGTATTTATTTATTTTTGGAAAGTTGTCTTCCTTGAGGTCATCTTGGGGTTAAGCTAGTCCATGCCCCTCCATGATGCCGGGTCTGAATCGGAGCATTATTTTTGTATCCACGGGTTCCACATCTGCAAATTCAACTCTGGCTTGAAATTATTCGAAAAGCAAAACTTGTATTTGCGACGCGCCTAGCAATACACTGATTCCACATTAATTTATATAATAAGCATAAAAAGAAACTCACCAAGGTTTTCTTTGGGGTAGTTTTCAGTTTGTCTGTAAGTACATAAGAATCAGTCGCCTGATCATGATTGATTGAGAATTGAAGGGTTGGCTGAGTTTGTGGGGATCACTAAGCAATAAAGGTGACCAAGTATACTGTGGTCATCAGCTTTAAGATGTCTTTTGTGTTTTCTTGCTGACATCATGCCTTGGTGAGAATCCTCTCAGAAAATCACTAGTTGTTAAAGATGCCATGCCAGCTTGAGCCAGCAGCAAATCCTGATAGGACTGTCCACCTGGAGGGCAAAAGCAAGGCTTTATGCTCCGTTCCATTTGAACTCATAAGTCAGAAATTCTAGTCGGAAATTTCAAATGGAACACCCACTGAATTCAGAATTCTGACTTGAAACATTGGCTAGCTACATTACAAAGCAATAGCAATGAATATTAATAACTAATTATTGTTACATGTTTGCTGTGTAGATTTTGCAGTTGCGCATAAGACGGGCATCACCCATTGTTTGGGCATGTCCACCAACAAGTTCATTGGTGGTATGCAGTAGTCCTCGGATTCAGTCAGTTTCATCAGAGCATAGTGGCATATGTCACTGCTTTGAACATATACTCGGGAGAGCAAGCACCAGTTTTTGACTATGTGTACCCATCAGGAGGTGTGTTGCAATCACCCTACGGATGTCGTCTACCAACAAAGAATACAGAACAGTGGGGCATTTTAATCATTTTCCATTCTTTGCCTCTTTGTGAGTGTTCTTTTATTGTAGTTTTGGTAGTCTTATTATTATTTATTTATTTATTGTAGTATTTATTAACTATTTACTCTGTATATGAATTTAGCTTGCTTTCACCAGCCCTACTTTAATCTCTACATAATTACCTGCATTTTTGTTAAACTATCTTCCAACTCATATTGAACTTCTGTTAATGACCAGTTTGCCCATAACGCATTCGTTTTATCAGTCGATATTGATTTAATTTCCTGGCTAGCTTCAGTGTCCGTGGTAGTGTTTACACCAAATGTGGCTCTGCTGAAGTTTACAACACACTGTAGACCTTCCCTAGACACCAACATCACAGGTTCACAGTTTCATAACAGCAGTTTTGGTGAAAAGGGCTATGTGAATCAGGGGAATTATCTCCCGTCGGGCAGAGCTCTGGTGTGGCTTGACACCTCCTTACCTGGACTGACCTCTCTCTGGTTAGGCTGTGTAATTGTTTAGTTTTTTCTTGTTGCATGATTGAAGTTGATTAGACACCTGTGCAGGTCAGATTGTTGTGGTAACTGCTTGTCCTCTTCAAGATTGTGGTGAATCTGGCCTCTGTCCCTTGAAGCTCAGGACATTCATACATGCAATCACATGATGGGCAATTTAGACACCTAACTGCAAACTCCGCACATGCACACAGAGCTGGAGCAGGATC